GAATGGGGCCAGGAGGAAGAAAAATGTGTCATAAAGTAAACAAAAAGGATAGAGCAAGTTACACAATTGCCCTATTTTGTATATATTTGAGCAAGGGAGAAATATATATTTGTAGCCGTGCCTATCTGGTCCATAATGGGTGATTTTTTTACCTTTTTATTTTAGTTTCAAATACTACTTTTGTTTCAATTTATGTGAACATATTTGATTGGGCACGGAATTTAAGAAAAAATGACTTTTGGAATTTGTGGTCTTAAACAAGTCAAAAAGGGGCTCAGAGTATTTGTGTGGTTATAAAAGCTTCTCATTAAGGGTAGAATCGTAAGTTTAAGCTAAATTATTATCAAATTTAGAAAGGAGTCATTCTTTTTGGAACGGATCAAAAAGGAAATAGGTTCACATAAACCGGAACAGAGGGGGTAAGTATTTTTTACATAATCGAGAAAGAATCAACTTTATTTTTTTAAAATTTACCCTTACTTACATATATTCCAACGTGTCAAGTTAACAGTATGCAAAGTTTTAATTATGGGTTGTAGTCAAAATACTTTTTTTTCCTCTAGGAGTTAGTATTTTCTTAACGGGTATGCCAAAGGACAAAAAGTCACTTATTGTGGACCGGGGAGTAACAACAATAACAAAAACAGTAATTTCCCACAAGTAGGGTCTGGGGAAGGTAAGATGTACACAGCCTTATTCCTATCCTGGAAGGGCAAAGAGGTTGTTTCCGATAGACTCTCGGCTGGAAAACGGATGAAAAAAAGTTATGACAACAAGTAGGAATACGTTCCTAAAACTAATAAGCGACAATATATATATATATATATATATATATATATATATATATATATATATATATATATATATATATATATATGTGTGTGTGTGTGTGTGTGTGTGTGTGTGTGTGTGTATTATATACAAAAAAATATATACATTTCGGTTAGCGAATGCAATTAATTTTATCCGATGCCAATTTTGTAATTTGCCCAAAAAAAAAGGATAAAGCAATGGCTTTTCCAAGTTGGTATTATTTTATTTAAGCCTAATGGCCTAATCATTATCATAAAGTTAATGAAATTGCATTCCATTATAATTATGTTTGACAGTTTGAGTTTTAAATGTAGCAAAACAGTAGCATTTATTGACTTATGTGACTTTCATACTCCTATTATGCTGACTTTCCAGGCCATGAGATGATGCTCAAATTGGCATAAAAGATTGTGATTCTCTTGCCTTATTTGAGGGTTAGAAACTTGAGAGATTATGAATTTGACATTGATAATCTCTATTCGCTGTGAGAACTCTATATCTTGGCGCATTGCTCAAGGATATTGCTAAAAAAGGCTTTTTTTATTTATTTATAAGAAAATAAAAAAAATTTGCATCAATAACCACCAACTTTAAAGGGTTCATATTTGGGTCGTAAATAAGTTATATGGGGATCCACAAATTGAAATTGAAGAGAGAAAAAAACCTTTCGCTTCTCAATGTCTCAAACTCCCAACTCCTCAGCAATCCCGCCTAAACCACCGGATATACTCCCCACCACTAGTTCCATGGAGACCAATACCATGACAACGGAACCCATCTCCTTCAAGGACAAGCTCCTTAACAAAGACATAAACTTTATTACAGACCCACTTAAGCCTCCAAGCCCAAATGGACTGCCACTATGATTCAGTGATCCCACTCGAACTACAAAGCCCTCCCCAGGAACACAACATCTCTGTACCTATCACAAGTGAAGATAAACAATGAATCTACCATCCGTGGAGATTCTCTCTTATCATAAAATTACAAGGGAAAAGAATCACACACGATCTGTTCAAAAAGAAATTAATGGACCTTTGGAAACCTTCAGAAAACTTCCCATTAATTGATCTAGGGTAGGACTACTATATTGTTCGTTTTATAAAAGAAGAAAACATGATTAATGTATTCCAAAAGGGTCCATGGTTTCTCTATGGTCACTTCCTCTCAGTGCAAAGATGGATTCCAAACTTTGTAGCATCCAAAGCAACTCAATCTTATACGGCAATCTGGATTAGACTTCCCCAGCTCCCCACTGAATTCTATGACAAAGAAATTCTACAAAAAGTGGGAGCAAAGCAAGAAGAAATATAGCACACAGTACCTTTCAATAGGAGCAAACGAAAGGATCCCCCCAAAAGGACTTCCAAATTGCCAGAGAATATCCAAGACCCGGGTATAAGCGTTAACATTTTCGAAGCAAAGTCAGGTAAGTTACTCTCCTCTCAAACATTTTGTTACAAAACTAGAAGGCATCTTTTACAATCATCCATCAATGGTAAAACAACCTCCCCCATTATCCCTACCAAAAACTCCAACAACTTCCTATTGTTGAACCAAAATAATTTAGACGATAATCTTTCTAATAATAACAGTAAAGATATTAACACTACCACTACTAATAATAATTACAATAATATTCCAATAAACCAAAATATTAAAATTGTTAATAACAATAATATTACCACGTTTATCCCTGAAAAAGACAATATTAATGGCAAAATTAATACCACTATGGGCCCACGTTACACCCCTCACACGCAACACCACCCCCTATCAGCTACACCCACCACCCACCACCCCTCACCCAATCAAACCCTAATACCATCTATAATACTACCCTACCCAATATCACGCCCCCCACGAATGATCACCCTACTGAGCTCCCCTCTAATACCCCCCTAACAGGCAACATTACCCTAACCAAAACCCCCCCTCTGCATGTAACTTCTGACAGAACTCATATGGCATGCAAGAATCAAGCCAATGAGCATATGGCCATTGACATTCCCCATAAAAAGACACCCCATCCCATTCCAATCGTGAGCCAAGAAATCTCCATTAAATACACGCCAAATCAGTCACTTTACATGCAAGAAGAAAATACAATCATTGATATCCTAGGAAACATTAACTCCACTGAATTCTCCTATCCCTTTTCCCACATTAAATTGTACAACTCCAAGTGAGAATGCCCAGAATTCCAATCTATGCAAGGAGACGCCACCGTCTCATCCAACTCCAATGAGTAACTCTCAATCCAAACATGGACTTCAATCCTCCAAACAACCCTCCTCAACCCACCCAGCATCAGAACCAAAACAATCAACCAAGAAGGATATTAATCCAACCACCTCTTCCCCAGAACCATCAACCACTATCTTGGGTGGAGATGGGACTCCTACGCCATGCACTCTCGTTCAACATCACCTTGGAAGGGAGGGAAACAGTGATCGTAATCCAGAACTCTCACTACATTGCTCAACTAATCTCCGAGGGAGTCCGCATGGCGATGAACAACTACATCAACCAAATTTGGTTGAACAACATCCTAAACCCATTAGCTCCAAATCTCACAACCAATCAAATCCAAGACATGAGGGGGGACTGGAACATGCCAACCAACTACATCCCAATCTAGAACCCCACTCCGGCGGTGGATCTTCCTTTCTTCACACCAGAATACTTAACCTCAATGAATCCAGTGTTCACATCGTGGATAACACAGGCAACTCAGCCCACTCCACCAAGTGTACCAGTAGTCCAAAACATGAAAACCTCTCTCTCTCATCAAACCCAAAATCAAATGGAACAGGTAATGGAAGAAGAAATCGACCCAGTAAACTTGATACCTCAAAACGTGGTCGAGGATTCAAACCTAGACGAGCTAAAAATCTTTCTATTTATGGAGAGGCAAGAGCAGAAGCAAATTCTCTATTGTCCACTGGCACTATACAAGTGCACAATGGATATAAGGCCTCCAGCAGACCCTACTGTAGGAAAACACACAATGATCCTCGTCCCTTTTTAAAGGAGGAATCCCATCTTTCCAAGGAGAATGAGGGAGAATGGAGACCTGAACAACCCACTGTTGAACATGAATAGGTCGACCACCTTCATCATTTGGAACACTAGAGGGGGAAACAATGATAGTTTTAGAATCAGTTTCAGGGACCTCATAGATACCCATCACCCTAGTATGGTTACCCTCCTGGAAACTAAGATGGACAGCCATCTTCCACTCCTCAATCCTTTTGGATTCACAGACATGATCGAGATACCAGCTGATGGTCAGTCGGGAGGCATGGTAATCTTGTGGGATCACACCAAGGTCATGGTTCATAGTTTTGTTCGTCGAAGCCAGGAAATAAGTGCTACTATTGAGGTATTTTCCCATAACAAATCCGGGTACTTTACTTCGATTTATGCTAGTACTGATAGCAAACTTAGGAATACTATGTGGAACAACATATTAGACATGCATGGTGAAATTAGAGGCCCCTGGGTGATAGGAGGGCATTTCAATGATGTCTTAAGTTCTGACGAAAAATTAGGGGGTAGGAAAGTAAGTCATAATAGAACTAAAGTACTGCGGGACTTTATTAACCATTGCAATCTTATTGATCTAGGTTTTAAGGGCCCCAAATTTACTTGGTCAAATAAAAGAAATAAAAAAGAAAGGTCTTATTCTAGAAAGATTAGATAGGATTTTTGCTAACAAAGATTGGGTAGAGCTATTTCCGGAGGCTTATATTACTCATCTCCCTAGAATTCACTCGGATCACAACCCCCTTTTGATCACTTGTAATCCTAAGAATTGTAACTCCTTCAAGAGACCTTTCGGGCTAGAAACCTTTTGGTGTCATCACCCGGATTTTGTAAACTTAGTTAGCAGTAGTTGGAATAACTCTAGTTATATTCACAACTCCCAAAACTTTAGAGAAAATATCATTCAATGGAGCAAAAAACATTTTGCGGAAACTCACCAAAAAAAGCTAGAATTATTGCTAGACTGAATGGTATACAAAGCTCTAACAACTATCACTCTAATACCTTTTTACAAAATTTAGAATCCAAACTTCAACAAGAGTATAGGGACATTCTCAAATTA